TCTTCTGTGCTGGGCCATCCTTTTGGCCAGTGGCTGTTTTGTTTCCCTGATGTAAGACTGATCACAGCCCTCCTGACACTGAACAGCATACACAACATTATTCTGTTTGTGCCGGGGGACTGGATCTTTGGGATGAACCAGTCTTTGCCGTAATGTATTTTGGGGTTTAAAAGCCACTGGGACGTTATGTTTAGAAAATAAACGTCTCAGTTTCTCTGATACTCCCTCAACATATGGAATGACCACTGGTCTGGGTCTGGGTTCCTCCTTTTCACCTGTTGGCTGACTGGAGTCCTGTTTGGGTTTCTTCTCTGCTTTCAGGAAGGCCCAATTAGGATATCCACATTGCTCTAGAGCCTGTCTTGTGTGGGATTTCTCCTTCTGCCTGGCTCCTGAGCTAGTGGGGACGCTGTCTGCTCTGTGATACAGAGTCCTGATGACTCCTAACTTGTGCTCCAAAGGGTGATGGGAGTCAAACTGCAAATACTGGTCTGTGTGGGTGGGTTTGCGGTACACCTCAGTTTGCAAATGTCCTCTATCAGTGACTGAGACCTCACAGTCCAAGAAAGCCAACCTGCCATTTTTTACATCTTCTCGTGTGAACTTGATGTATTTATCCACAGAGTTGATGTGGTCAGTAAAATGTTGGACTTCCTGAGATTTGATTTTAACCCAGATGTCGTCAACATACCTGAACCAATGACTTGGTGGTGTCCCTGAAAAGGACGTCAAGGCTCTCTTTTCTACCTCCTCCATGTACAGGTTGGCAACAATAGGAGAAACTGAAGACCCCATAGCACACCCATGTTTCTGCCTATAATATTGCTCCCCATATGTCCAGAGGACCAGATTTAACTTTTTTAGATTTTTCTACCTGGATTATTGAGCATGCATCAGGATATCTACTCTCCACTGTCGATATCCACCCCACTCACCTCGATTTATGGGACCATCTTGTGCTTCCACACTTGCTTCATTTTTCATACATTTTCAGACTTCAGTCATTACTAATGCACAGTAAATTATTCAACTATAAACATGATAGTAATGGTTACTTTATAGTATAAAGTAACCATTACATATAGTGAAGTGAAAGAGTGAGAGAGGATATTTATTCTGGCACAGTCATTATAGTGGCTCATCATTATCATCAAGTTACAGCTATGGCTCGTAAAACCTTCTTGTGACCCATGATTCAACTGCTGCCAGCTAGAGATGAAACATTTGCTTGGATTGTTATCAGCCCATTACGTGGATTTCAAAGGTGGTTATCACTCTTACAGATAGGAGCGATCACTCCCCTCCCCCACCACATTGTGCTGTAGGCAGAGCAGGCAGACTTTATCCCTTCTGATCAGTGATAAACCACTAATAAACAGTAAACAACCTAGATTACACTCACAACGTCTTGCCATTGCAACACTGCTGGTGTAAATGTGTGAGAGCTTGAACTGCTAACTCTTTCTAGGACGTTATCTTGCTTAACCAAACAGTGATTAAAAATTCACGGATTAATACAACAGAAAACATCCATCCATCCATTATCTTTACCCGCTTCCTCCATTTTGGGTCACAGGGGTCGCCATTGCCCATGTCCAGCAATCACTGTGCGAGGGGCGGGGTACACCCTGGATGGGTCGCAAGTCCATCACAGGGACACATAGAGACAAACGAGACAAACAACCATTCACTCTCTCACTCACACATAGAAACAATTTTAGAGTTACCAATCAGCCTAACATGCATGTTTTTGGTCTGTGGGAGTACCCAGAGAAAACCCACGCACGCACGGAGAGAACATACAAACTCCACCCAGAAAGGCCCCTGGACATGGGTTTGAACCAGGGACCTGCTCGCTGAGAGGCAGCAGCTCTACCAGTTGCGCCACCAACAGAAAACACAAATGACGTATTTTGACTCTACAGGGAAAACCAAGCCACTTCTGGCTTATGCACTATAAATGCAACTTTTTTACTTTATGTTTAGGTGGTAATGGGCATTGGCAGTCCCAGCACATTGCCATGATGGTGCTATACAAAGCTTTGCAGATGAATGCCTGTCTGTGGTAGCTGAGGATGCTAGATATTTCGTTTTTCTGTTCTTTCTATGGCTTACCTTTGCTACAAAGCAACTGTCACTTTAGACCATAAGCCACTTTGTAGGAAAACAATGCTGGAGATAGGGGAATGTCAAAGAGCAATCTTACTGTTAGGCCATGTGACATCATCAGACTTATCTCATGACCTTCATGCTGAACTCTGGTGGGAACTATCCTGATTCATGCTTAGTAATCCAGGTAAAATAATCCAACAAATTTAAGTCAGGTCCTCTGGACGGTTTATTTTTGTTGAAATGTTTCGTCTTTCATCCAAAGGACTTCATCAGCCCGAGGAGCTGCAACAAACTCTGTCTTATAAATAGTTGGATTTGTTGGATTTTTCTACCTGGATTATTGAATCAAGAAATTTGGAACCACTTTGGCCATGGCTGCCTCAAACAAGTCGATGGGGGAGAGGGCGGACTCCAGAAACCATCTGAGCACCATCAAACTTGTTGACCCACTATGTGACTGTGCTATTTATAAGACTGAGTTTGTTGCAGCTCCTCAGACTGATGAAGTCTTATGTATGAAAGACGAAACATTTCAACAAAAAGAAACCATCCAGAGGACCTGACTTAACTTTGTTGGATCTGGTGTGAACAGTTTGTTTCTTGTTTCAGTTAATCTTTCCTCCTCTCAGCAGGTGTTTTGTTGGAGCCACAGAAAGTGACGTTTTGTAGCCTTTGCTCTTCAAATCTGAGGATGTGGAGCTATGTGGAAAGATTTTATACTAAAAATATATTTCCTTGTATATGGCTGACTGAATTAGCAAGCTAATATATGGCTAATCTGAGCCCTACCAATATCACAGTGGATCACAGTGGTCTTTAAATAACTTCAA